CATGAAGGGGATCCTGAAGGACAGATCGTGAAGCTGAGACTCCAATACTTTGGCCACCTCATGAGAAGAGAAGACTCCCTGGAAAAGCCCCTGATGTTGGGAAAGATGGAGGGCACAAGGAGAAGGGGACGACAGAGGATGAGATGGTTGGATAGTGTTCTTGAAGCTACCAGCATGAGTTTGACCAAACTGCAGGAGACAGTGGAAGACAGGAGTGCCTGATGTGCAGATTCCAGTTTCCAGAGCAATTTGAACCAACAACTGAATCCACCTTTGCATCTGAAACCCTGCCAGCTCATGCCAGCCAGGGTGGAAGTTGGGGTGTGTTGCTTTTTGCTCTTTGGAGGATCCATGGAGCTTTGGATCCAGCAAGTTGGATCCACAGCGGGGACTTTCTGCTCTCTACTACCAGTGGGGGAACTGCCAGTAAGCACTTACCTCCTGTCTTGGCAAAGCTCAGCAGCTCCACCAGAGTGGAGCCCCCTCACCACCAATGATATGCTTCTCCACCAGTGGAAGCCAGCAGACAAGAATCTACGGTAGTCTCGCAATCTGGGGAACCGGGTTCACGTCTCCGCTCCTCCGCATGCAGCTGCTGGGTGACCTTGGGCCAGTCACACTTCTTTGAAGTCTCTCAGCCCCACTCACCTCACAGAGTGTTTGTTGTGGGGGAGGAAGGGAAAGGAGAATGTTAGCCGCTTTGAGACTCCTTAAAGGGAGTGAAAAGCGGGATATCAAATCCAAACTCTTCTTCTTCTTCTTCTTTCCCCCACCCCAGCCACCATTGACATGGGGAGAGGAAGCATTGTGCTCACTCTAAATTAACCACCATTGTCTACACTTTTTCAATGTTATTCTGCCATTCGTCACATAAAAAACATATACAGCGGTACCTCAATTTTTGAACATAATCTGTTCCGGAAGACCGTCTGAGTTCTGAAACGTTCAAAAACCGAAGCATTTACTTCTGGAATCATTTATTGAAACTCAATATGGAAGCTGCGTGGCATGTTCGAGTTCCGAAAAATGTTTACTTCCAGGTTTACGGCATTCGAAAACCGAAACGTTTGATAATGGAAACATTCGAAAACCAAGGTACCACTGTATTGAAATACATTTTGAAAAGCATTTTTGAGAGAGAAAATCTATTTAGAAATGCATCTTTAAATACATATACAAATGTGATTTTGTGTGTGTGTGTGCACAGAGGTTGATTTATCTTTAAATGCAGATTAATGAGAATATATATGAGTGAACACAGGACAAAGCAACAAGGGGCTGGAAAGGGACTGATTCATCCATCACCAGCTGTAATTCTCTATGCACTGACTTGGGCGTAAGCCCTGTGGACACCAGTAAAATCAACTTCTGCGCATACATGAATAGGATTGGGCTATTAATGAAATGCTGGCTGTGCTACTGGAATATATCAAGAAATACTATGTGTGGAATTAACTACTGTGTTTTACAGATTGTAATATTTATCTTTTTGCACTTTTCCCTAATTAGCTGTATCCCTCTTCTGCATTATTGTTCCATTTGTAATCTGCACAGGTTTGTTGTGTAAAGGAATAACAGTATAAAAGGTAAGCAGGATTCAAAGGATACAAGATTCTAAGTTACACTTAATGGGAGAAGCCATAACTCTTTGGCAGAGTGGATGTGTTGCCTGCATAAAGTTAAAAATTCAGACCCTGCCATCTCCACTGAGCATGAATCATAGGTAAGGTAAAAAGGTAACTGTAAAGGACCCCTGGACGGTTAAGTCCAGTCAAAGGTGACTATGGGGTTGTGGTGCTCATCTCACTTTCAGGCCGAGGGAACCAGCGTTTGTCCACAGACAGCTTTTCAGGTCATGTGGCCAGTATGACTAAACCCCTTCTGGTGCAACGGGACACTGTGACGGAAACCAGAGCGCATGGAAACGCTGTTTACATTCCTGCCGCAGGAATTCCTATTTATCTACTTGCATTGGCGTGCTTTTGAACTGCTAGGTTGGCAGGAACTGGGACAGAGCAACGGGAGCTCACTCCGTCTCAGGGATTCGAACCACCAACCTTCCGATCGGCAAGCCCAAGAGGCTCAGTGGTTTAGACCACAGCGCCACCCGTCTGAATCATAGGTACAGTTCTAGACTCGAGTGGAGTATACACAGTGCTATTTTTCTAGAAAAAGAGGTTCTGGAACTCACAATGAACACCTCCTTTGTTCTCTTATAATGACAACGGAACCCACCTGAGAGGTAGCAGAACTGAATTTTGGTGAGTTCCGGCTGAAAAAAATAGTACTGAGCATACAGCTCTGGGATAGATGGACTAACAGTCTCACTTGGGAACACACTAAAGAAATTGAAGGAGTACTATTTTATCTTAGGGTAAGTTGACCTATGAAATGAGGTTTTTGTGCTCAGTTGAATATAGAATGCTACTTAAGGTAAACAGAATTTCTCCTGTGATCTGTGTATCCAACCCACTGATGCTGAGTCCCAGTCAGCATGCTCTCAGTCCCAGAGATTTGACAACTTCCCCAACTTGTGCCTTCATATACACCATCATCCATTCATTCATTCATTCATTCAATTTATATACAACCCTTTATCAGACGATCCCAGGGTGGTGTGAAACAATAAAAATGCATTACACAACATCAATGATAAAAACATAATAAAATAAAAATACTGACAAACAGCCAATAAATAAAATAGTCATTATGATAACAGTCCTGTCCCCCACACTTTCACAAAGCGTAAGTTCTTTAACAGTCATAGGCCTGGATAAAGAGGAATGTTTTTGCCTGGGGAGCCTCTCTGGGGAGAGCATTTCATAATTGGGGAGCCACCACAGAAAAGGCCCTTAAGGCACCAGTCAAAAACATTCCTTTTCAACCAGGCCTTAGGCTGACTAACATCCTATATCCTTTTAACTGTGTTTGAGGGAGGGGTGGAGGGGTGGGGGTTGTTGTTGATGCTGCTGTTATTAATTAAATTTGTATACAGCTCTGCTCTGTTGTTGTTTTTAATTTTGTGTTTTTATCTGGTATTTTTATGCTGTAAACTACCTAAAGTCGATGGATGAAGGGTGGCATACTTATCTAATAAACAACCAAACCCACTGTGTTGGGAATCCTGCCCCTTCATTTTATAATACAAATGGATCTTAAACAGCGAAGACTGAAGCCTTCCACATGATTAAATGGCTTTAGGACAGTGTCCAAGTCTGCAGTCCCTTGCCTGAGAGTAGTCCCTATGAAATGCAATGGGACTTACTTGTGAGTACACATGCCTGGGATTGTACTTTAAGTCTTACGGTCATCAGTAGGTAACAGAAAGTTAGCAGCTCTCCATTCTGGTTTCAGACCTTGTTGGGGAATCAAGTTACACTGAGGACTTTATATACCAGAGAACTCAGTTTTCAACTGAGAGAATCTAAGTGCATTGGCAGTTCATTTTTTAAAAATTAATATATTTATTGTGTTTTTTAAAGAAAATGTGAAGAAAAACAATCTGTGCTGTTGCATGGCTATTTTAGGTTTGGGTTGGTTTTTTGTTTTGGAACCTGCTGTGTAACATCAGTGGCGTAGTGTGGGGGGTGCAGGGGGGGCCGGCCGCACCGGGCGCAACATCTGGGGTTAGGGCAAATCCACAGGTTAGGGGGCGCAAATCCACGGGTTAGGGGGCGCAAATTACTTGCCTTGCCTTGGGTGCTGACAACCCACGCTACGCCACTGTGTAACATTCAATTAAATTATGTTAAGCAGAACTTCCCAAAATCAAACTTGGTGATAAACAATTCTTGTGGTTCATTCTTTATCCTGCCCTTTCTTTCTGTGTATTTAAAAAAAAAAAAATCAGCAGTTTCCACATCAATCCATTCCCCACACCTGAACCTATTAGAGTTGATATTGTAGAAAGTGACAGTTGACAGCAAATTCTATTGACAGAGTCTCATTGAACATAATTACTCAACAAGGACCATCCTGAATCCATTAGCCACAGTGTAAGTCAGCAGTAATTTTGTGACACCTTTGACGCTCAGACAATGAGCATAGGGTCATGGAACTGCAAACGCAGCCTCAACCCACTTCTTATTAAAACCAACAGGACACTGGGTAAAAGTCACCTCAGTCCAATGGAATGGCCTATTTTGTGTGTCAGTTCATTGCCATTTAGGCCAAATTAATTTCACAGAGATGCATACACAGACACACACACTGTGTTAATCATTGTTTTCCCCCTCTTGCCTTTGATACTGCCACGTGCTGCTATGACGGACGTGAAGAAACAGAGGTTTGAAGCCCAAAATCGCCTCAACCCAGTATACCTGAAGGAGCGTCTCCACCTTTGTCGTTCAGTCTAGATACTGAGGTCCAGTACTGAGGGCCTGCCCCTGCCCAATATCTCAGAAGATATTGGAGAATTTTCCGTTCTGTACAAAAGAATCTATGGAAGTCCACAAAGAGAACAATAGCACTTTCCCAGAACTGATATTCAGAGACATACTATCCTTTTTTTAAAAAAATAATTTTTTATTAGATTTTCCACAGTGATAACACAAACCACAAAGCAAAATGATACACAAAAACAGAAAAAGAAAAAAGAAGAGAGAAAAAAGAGAGGAAAAAGGAGGGAACAATAAACAGATAAACAATAACAACAAACTTAATTCTTCACAAATCCAACCTTTTAAACATCTGGGTTGACTTCCTCAAATCCCTCCCTTCTGAGTTTCCTTGTAATTAAAAGTAACAGCTTTCCAATATCATTATTAAACTAAAACAATTTCCAATTATAGTCCATCTTATTCACTTTTCTTAACATTCTAAATCCCATTTATTTAATTATAACTTAATTTAATCCTGGGCCTATTTGTTTCTTTCAAGTAATTTCTAATTTTTTATATTACAATATTTATTCAAATAGTCCGTGAATGTCCTCCAGTCCTCTTGAAACTCCTCTTCCTTCTGGTCGTGGATTCTTTCAGTCAGGTCAGCTAGCTCCGAAAAGTCCATCATCTTCATCTGCCAATCTTCCACTGTTGGTAGTTCTTGTGTTTTCCAATTTTTAGCAAGTAATATTTGGGCGGCTGTTGTGGCATACTATCCTGAAGTAGCACACAGCCATCAAGACTAGTACCATTGGCGGTCTTGCTCGCCATGCATTTGCCTAATCCATTTTCAAAGCCAACCAACTTGGTCTCCATCACTGCATCCATGGTGAACTACTGGCAAATGAGATTGTGCATCTCCAAATGGACTCCATGGCAGCTGTCAAACAGCCATTGGGTTCCAAGCAATGAAATTACTACTGATAACATATGGCCTGGATTGAAAAAGGCATCTGGAGGGAAGGTTCTCCATTGCTGACAGCTATCCATCCTCATATAATATATTGTTTCACTTCACTTTGGACTATGTAGCTGTCACTTTTCAGAAGATGTTGGGAAACTGAATAAAGTTTTGATAAGTGTTATGCAAGGAGAGGAGTTTCTGCAAATGAAGTGAGCATATTAATTCTGTTGAAGAAAGGACATTACGTTGCATGTAATCATTTTCAAATATTGAAGTGGTTCTAATAAAAAACCACCAGAGAACAGTTCGTCTCCCTTGCCAGTGACAGAACATAATGGGGTTCAATTTGTGGAAATTTAATTTCAGTTGCAGGACCAACTCACTGGCAGGGGAATGAATTTTCCAGGGACACTAACTTGATCATTTTGAAACTAGTTTGAATGTTTTAACAGTTTGAATAAATGTCTCACAAATAATCAGTGTTTGAACAAATGATATATCCACTTTGAGGGACAGGCTGACTGAACTTTAGTCTGACCTGATGAGATGGTTCTTCTTTGGGTGGATTTGAATGCTGTTAATTCTCCTCTTTCAGTAAGTATATTATTCTAGTAAATGTTGGCCTGGCAAAGGAAATTTAGCATTTGGAACAAAAAGAGCGGTGGGTGGGTGGGTGGGTGTAGGGGTGTGTGTGTGTGTGTGTGTGAGAGAGAGAGAGAGAGAGAGAGAGAGAGAGAGAGAGGGAGTCCTGATGGGTGTCACACTGAATCAGTAAAATAGGTCTTGCTGATTACCTTCCTTCATTTCCTGGACAAATAACCATTTGAGACCGCTGAGAGCTGTTGGATGGAATAGCCATCAGTGATCATATCAGGGATTACTTAGAGCTCCTTCAGACAACCTGTTTCTTCTGCATTCATCCTAATTTGCTTGCTCAAAACTTAACGGTGGTTAAACGACGTCTTGTTTTTATTGAGCATTCATTCTAATTTGCTGACAGGGTGTTTACACATCTTCACATTAGCCATTCGCTCGTCCCACACTTTTCAATGACCTATCACTTTCCAAATTGCAAAATGTCTGGATTTAAAAAAAAAAATAGATTTGTTGCACTAAGACAATTTCATCCACTTTAACAGTGAAATCTAAAGTTCCAGCATGTGATTGAGTCCCTTCCAGAAAATAGTGACTATCTGGAGGTTGCCCTGTGATGCTGCTGTTTGGTGAAATGGACATCAGTGGTCATATCAGGGATCACTCAAATTGTGGGAAATAAAACACGGCCTGGTCTTATGATGCCATCAACCACAGAAACAGGTTACCCAAGGTAAACATGAAGCACTGATGAACATACATCCACTCCTTGGAAGGTAACACCTATAGGCCCCAACCTTTACTTTATCATTCCATCCTTGGGGTCCTTGATCTTCACTCTTCCCAGTAGACAGCACCTGCTATCCCATCTCCACTCATGAGTTACCCTATGCCAGGGATCTGAAAGAGGTAGACCTTTAAAATTCTGCCTACATCCTCCCAGTGGCTATTAAATATTGTTGGAGGACAGAGCACTGGAGATATATAGCACCTTTATAATATTTTTTAATCTACTAATGTACAAATTGAGCAGATATTATATGGTGCAGAATGAAGCACACATGCAGCAGTAAATTTACAGCAACATTATTTATTTCTGTTTATTTATTTTTTTAAGATTTATATCCCATTTCTTGATGGCCAAATAGTTTTCCCAGTGAAGCTTTAATCCAGTTCCCTAAAATCTAAAATCCATCCTGTTGATTTCTAGCTCTTTTCGCAAAATACATCAGGTAACAGCGGTTACCTGCCACAGGCACATCAAGGTGACTCAAGGTGTGTTTCAATATTAAAGAGCAGCCCAACTGCCCTTTAATCAAGCTCTTATGATTCTCCATCAACTCCATACCCTCCAACATTTCTCAGATGTAAATAGGGACGTCCTAAGGAAAAGCGGGACATTCAAGGGCTTTGGGGGAGAGAAAATCAGTTCTACCCTTCTAATATAATTTTAAACTTTACTTTTTACATTTGCTTTCATGTTTCTGTTTCTGAAGAGATATGTAAGCATAATATGACTGAACTAAAGGTGTTGTTAACTCTGGAAAGAGCTCTAGATCTTTACAGACTATCCATTTTTTAGTTCAGTAACTCGTTGTTGTTAACTCTGGAAAGAGCTCTAGATCTTTCCAGACTATCCATTTTTTAGTTCAGTAACTCATGCACAATTGTTACACATTTGTTGTTCACACATTTAGACATCATCTGTTGCTGATTCACTTCTCTTGCGGATATAGTTCATTTCCCCAGCACTGGGTGTGATTTATTTTTCACTTTGCAAAATGGGATTCTTCTCCCAGATAGTGCAGTCATGGCTATTATTACCATATTGTGGGATGTAAAGCTGCCCAAAATTTACAGCAGACTATGGACATTGCTAGAAGAAATGCAAGTGGCTCTGAGTCAAGACCCACACAACTCAATTCCAGTGCTGTACCTGTTTCTTTATGGAGAGTTCCTGCTCAAAAAAACCAAAACCCTGGTTCTTGGAAGGTTGTACATTGGTCCACTTCTGGTCCAGTTCTTTATCTCCTGTCCAATATTTGTTTTGTGTTTAACAGAACAGCCGTTCTCCCTCTTAAGTGAAATCCAGCACCAAGGGCCTTCTGGCGGCTCCCTCACTGCAAGAAGTGAGGTTACAGGGAACCAGGCAGAGGGCCTTCTCGGTAGTGGTGCCCGCCCTGTGGAACACCCTCCCATCAGATGTCAAGGAAATAAACAACTATCTGACTTTTAGAAGACATCTGAAGGAAGTCCTGCATTGGGAATTTTTTTATGTCTGATGGTTTACAATGTTTTATATATGCTGTAAGCCACCCAGAGTGGCTGGGGAAACCCAACCAGATGGGCAGGGTATAAATAATAACTATTATTATTATTGGGACGCGGGTGGCACTGTGGGTAAAACCTCAGTGCCTAGGACTTGCCGATCGCATGGTCGGCGGTTCGAATCCCCGCGGCGGGGTGAGCTCCCGTTGTTTGGTCCCAGCTCCTGCCAACCTAGCAGTTCGAAAGCACCCCTGGGTGCAAGTAGATAAATAGGGACCGCTTACCAGCGGGAAGGTAAACGGCGTTCCGTGTGCTGCGCTGGCTCGCCAGATGCAGCTTGTCACGCTGGCCACGTGACCCGGAAGTGTCTGCGGACAGCGCTGGCTCCCGGCCTATAGAGTGAGATGAGCGCACAACCCTAGAGTCTGGCAAGACTGGCCCATACGGGCAGGGGTACCTTTACCTTTACCTATTATTATTATTATTATTATTATTATTATTATTATTATTATGTGTGGCTTGGATATTGTGCTACTGCCTTTGAGATTATGTAGTATTACTATCAAAAACTGTCTAAAACTAGAATCTATTTGGGGCACGTCTCCGCAGATAATCAAATAAGCCACTGGAGCTCATAGCTGGGCATGCTACAATTTTCACATGACATGTGAAATATAGATATGTGTGCAATTCAAAAGCACGCCACCCCTTTTAAAAGGGGAAGATGAAAAGCACCAAAAAGAAGTGATCATAGACATTTTGCCATCCTTCCTAGGAAACGCCGACATTTTTGGCTCTTATAGGCCCTTCCTAGGGTCCATTCAGGCCTAAAAACAGATTAGGTACATCACAGTTTTGCAATGATAATTGTAATTCAGTTTGAATTGAATTGCCTGAACGCATGAAAGGTCTGCTCTCTTTTTATTAAGTCATGGCCACAGAAGACAAAGTAGGAAGCGCTAAGAGAGAAAGTGTGCAGCCGATGACTTTTAACATGAGTTTCCCTTTTTCGGACAAATACTATCTTGAGGTACAGAATGCTCTTGCTGCCACCACCCCATCTAGGCTGCCAACTTTTCATTGCCCTCCGTTACTGTGCATTAAGCAAGAGATTTTTCTGGTGGAAATGCCTATCCACATGCCAAGAAAAGCTTCTGGTTTTTTAATATATATATTAAAATATTGTGTGTGTGTGTCACTATGTCAGCTTGACACGACCCCTTTGTGCTGTCAAATGAAGACTGCAATGAGCATGTCCAAAATGCTAAGGACAGCATGAACATCCTGGGCAAGACAAGAAGTGCTGGGATATGGTGTGGCTTTCTTAGGATGCTGGAGAATGGCTGTGTGTTTAATGACTTGGTTGGCGTGAATAAATCTGGGAGATGGCATGGCTGTTCTGGGAGAGACACGGTGTTCCCGCCAAAACATGAGGATCCAAATGTCTCCAAGAACATTATTTCAAGGAAGACAGTGCTCACACTATTCTCTGAATTAACCTCCTCTTTCATGCCATCCTCTAGGTACAGGAATTTGATAGGGCATGAGCTGAGCTCACCAGCTAAAAGCCAGGAAAGGGTGTGAGGGATTTTCCATTTGCAACATTGGAAAATATTGCTTTATGTCCAGTTCCCTGAGAGTGTGCTAGTCTGTGTTCCACACCTGCGTGTGCCAACTCCTTGGCTGCCTCTCAGTCCCTTTCCTGCCTTACTCACTTAGCTAATGCCTACTGGAGGGGGCTGTTGCTAGAACAACCAAGTTATTATAAACAGCCAAGTCACTCCTGGAAAGAAAGTATTTCCACTTCTGGCCCTGTGGGTTACTAAGTAGTCCATAGGAGTTGACTAGACCTTGAAGGGTTTCACAGAAGTGAACCACTGAGGTTCCAAACTCTGCTTCTCATATCAGGGTTTCCCATGGCTATGGCCACACTCTCCTCCACCACTAACTATGGAGCATGAGACTCCAATTCTCCACACCACAGACATCTCAAAATGCTTTTCAGCTTCAGGTAACCTCTCTGCTTCTCTCTAAGCTGTTTTGTTTTGTTTTGTTTTGTTTTGTTTTGAAGTTCAGTGGTACCTCGGGTTACATAAACTTCAGGTAACATACGCTTCAGGTTACAGACACCGCTAACCCAGAAATAGTACCGCAGGTTAAGAACTTTGCCTCAGGATGAGAACAGAAATCGTGCTCCGGCGGTGTGGCGGCAGCGGGAGGCCCCATTAGCTAAAGTGGTGCTTCAGGTTAAGAACGGACCTCCAGAACGAATTAAGTACTTAACTTGAGGTACCACTGTAGTTTCTTTTACACACGGACCTAAGTCCCCTCTCCTTAGTTGGGCGTACATGTGAAGAAATGTGTCTTGTTCCACAAGCTCTGAAGATTCTCTTCATTAAGAACATTCTAGAAATCTCCTCCCTGCTTCTGAATCTCAGCTCCCACTGTAGGCCAAGAAGATTGTTTTTTCAAGTCCCAAGCTCTGACCAGGCATTGCCTTCAGGCAAAATCATCATGATTGTCTCACCCACAATAATTCGACAGTAGTCCCTAACTTTGTACTGGGAGGGAGGTATCTTGCTGTTACTCACACAACAAGTAAATGTCTTTTGGAGATATAATAACTCTCACCACAAGAGAGAAGCTTTGCTTTCTTATGAAGCCTGGGTCCTGACCTTATTAGAGTCAATAAATTGCATTCCTAGCCCTATTCCCTAGCGAACAATCTTGGGCTACTTTCCCCTCTGCCCTCTGACTTCCATCAGGGCTTGCTCATTTTTTGTTCTCCATCTTAGGGTCAGTTTCCATTTTTCAAAGCACACCTATAACAGGAAAACACACACACTTTTTTTAAAAAAAGGTTCTCTTATGTATATGGCAACAGGAGTTTGACCTTTGTGTGTGTGGTTTCATGCTTTGCTCACCTACCTGGAAACAATTCATACCCTGAAATAAGCATCCGTCTTCCACTGTCTCCCATGCTGCTGAACAGAAATTGTTGAAGGATCCCCCTGCTCAACATTCACAGAAACCAGTCAAATTCATGTAATATTCACAAAAATATTCACTCAACATTTTTGCTCAATATTCACAAAAGCCAGACAAATCTATGCAAAAAGGGTATAACCAACTCAGAAAACGCTTCTACCCATTGGAAACCCACAACAAAAAGAATTAAGTCTCATTGCCTGCCAAAAGTCTGTCCATATCTCTTGCCTATTTCTTGAGGCCTTTGTGGGTACTAAGGTCACATCACCGCCATATATTTTAAGCGCATGACTTTCCCCAAAGAATCCTTGGAACTGTTGCTTGAAAAGAATTCTCAAAATTGTAGCTCTTTAAGGGGTGAACTACAGTTCCTAGTGCAGGAAATAGCTTGAACCACACAGTCAACTTAATTGAAGTGTTTAGGTATCACCCGAGTGAGAAAGGATGGGAATGGCTGTTATTTTTACACACATTTCATTTATTCAGTGTGTGAGCAGGGGAAGGAAGTAGGGCTCCTTCCAGTAAGGAATTCTGGACTATCACCCACAAGGTTAATTTGTCCTTCCTGGACTGCAGTTCCCATCATCCCTCACCAGTGTCTATGCTGGCAGAGTCTGATAGGAACTGGGGTTCAACAACATCTG